TTCTAGAGAGCACCCACGTGAATTTAATTTCGTGAAATACATGAGGTCGTGTGTTGGGGGTGCCCCTTAGGCCCCGTTTGGTTGCATAATAACAAGGCTGAAAGCCTGACAAAAGCTTCAGGCTTTTGTCATGCTTTCAGCCTTTATGTTTTGCAACCAAACAGGGCCTTAGTGACACCCAATGATTATGAGGAAGTTCCCTCCAAAAAAAGGGAAAATGGCCACAATTAGAAATTGAGAAGATAGGCTAAAGATTACCTTAAGTCTTACCCATTTTTTCTAAAAAGCTCTTTGCTTTTACCCATTCCTTCTAATAAGCCCTCAATTTTTTTTAAACAACTAAACCCTTGAGCTTTACCACTTTGTTCTAAGAAGCACCCAACTTTCTTTTTCTGCTAACGAAACCTCCAAGCTAACAAGAAGAATTGGGAGGGGTAAAAATCACGGGCTTCTTAGAAGAGATGGGTAAAACTTAGGGGCCTAGCCTAGTCAGGGCCGGCCCTGGGCTAGGGCCGGGGGGCACAACCGCACAGGGCCCCCACTGAAAAGGGGCCCCAAAATTTTATAAAGTTCTTTAATAGTATTAAGTATTTTATGGCCCAAAATCTGACCCAAAGGAAGATCATATTATAGGAATTCAAACCATCAAAGCAAACCTTAGTAAATGGAGTTGGTTGAAGTCATTGAACAAGTTAGTTAATTTGACGAAAATTACGAGATTTAGTAATCAATGAAATTAAACAATCATGCCTATTTGAGCTATATATCTCCGGATCTTCTTTCTACAATATCAATCCACCTCCTCATTTTTAGTAACAAATTTTAGCCGTTTAGAATTTTTACCGTTTGACATTCACTTTTACTCCTTTATAATTAACACTAACATTAAATAATTATTAATTTCTCTCATATAATACTCCACTATAAAAAGAGATTATATGTTCAATAAAAATTAATATAAGGTTGTCTATTAAAATCATACTTGTCCATCTGCTATTTGTTCTCAAAGGCTGATACATTGATACATTGCAACAATTTTTTTGGTGATTTGGGCATTATCGTATTCTTACATTTGATCAGGTGCTATTATTCTTTTTCTTTTACTTTGTTATTCTATTGCAAATTACATTTGTTATTTGTTTTAAATTTCATATAGTTGTTTAGTTATTTGTTTATTTATAAAATGGCACCTCGAAAATATTTATGCGGAAATGAAAAAAGGAAAAAGAAAAAACGAGAAGAAGAACTTGTTGAATCACAAAAAGGAGCTATTGATAAATTTTTATCAAGAAGTTCAAATGTTCCTATAGTTAGCTAATCAAATGAAAATTTAAGTGATGAAAATATTGTTTCAAGTGAAACTATTACTGAAAATATTTTGCCAAGTGATTTAAATAATGAAAATGTAGTTGATGTTGGTCAATATTTACCGAATTTTCATAATGATAATGTTATGCCAAGGGAATTTGATAATGAAAATCTAGGTGATGATAGCCGAATTTTCATAATGATAATGTTATGCCAAGGGAATTTGATAATGAAAATCTAGGTGATGATAGTCAAACTTTACCACATTTTGATATATATGAACCTAGCACATGGAAAAAATCTTGATAACAAAGCGAGGGATATTTTAGTTGAGAAGGGATTTGAAAGAGAATTGAACATTAATTTTCCTTTAGATGAAGACCGAAGGAAATTTTCATATGCACATTATTCTAGAAATTTGAGTAATGGAGAAATTAGTGATCGAAAATGGTTGATTTACTCTAAACTTGTCGATAAAGTGTTTTGCTTTTGTTGTAAATTATTCAAATCTAATAGCAATACAACTTTATTAGCAAATGAAGGATTGAGAGACTGGAGACATTTGCAAAAGACTATCTGACCATGAAAATAGTATTGAGCATATGACTAATATGAGCTCCTGGAATGAGCTAAGACTAAGGTTGGGAAAAAATGAAACAATTGATAATGAGTTGCAAAAACAAATTATGATGGAAAAAGAACGATGGCGACAAGTTTTGATTAGAATAGTAGTCGTCATAAAATGTCTTGCTAAAAATCATTTGGCTTTTCGAGGATCTAATGAGAAGCTCTATCAAAATAATATTGGTAATTTTTTGGGAATTATTGAGTTGATCGCAGAATTTGATGTAATAATGCAAGATCATGTTAGACGAATTCAAAATTATGAAGTTCATTATAATTATCTTAGCCACATAATACAAAATGAGTTGATTTCTCGTTTAGGCGTTAGTGTTAAAACTTCTATCGTAAAGATAATTAAAGAAGCAAAATATTTTTCTGTAATTCTTGATTGTACTCCAGATATAAGTCATCAAGAACAAATGGTCCTAGTTGTACGATGTGTAAATATGTCAAGTAATGAAATAAAAATAGAAGAGTATTTCTTAGAATTTTTGAAGGTAGATGATACATCTGGACTGGGGCTCTTTAATGAATTGTTAAATGTATTAAAACTACTTGACCTTAATGTTGATGACATTAGAGGGCAAGGTTATGATAATGGTTCTAATATGAAAGGTAAACATCAAGGTGTTCAAAAAAGATTACTTGAAATTAATCCAAGAGCTTTATATATGCCATGTGCTTGTCATAGTCTCAATCTTACTCTTAGTGATATGGCACATTCTTGTGTTAAAGCTATCTCATTTTTTGGAGTTGTGCAACATATATATTCATTATTTTCGAGTTCTACTAAGCGGTGGAAGATCTTACTTGATAGTGTTTCTTCATTTACTGTCAAATCTTTGTGTAATACCCGTTGGGAGAGTAGGGTTAAAAGTGTAAAAGCCATTAGATTTCAAGCCCCTCAAATAAGATTGGCTTTGTTAGAATTATATAAATCTTCAGAAGATGCGAAAACAAAGAGTGAAGCTAAAAGTTTGGTAACTGCAATTGAGAACTTTGAATTTTTACTTGGTATGATTATTTGGTATGACATTTTATTTGCTATTAACATGGTGAGCAAAAAATTACAAAATAAAAATATGAACATTAATACTACTATGAAATAGGTATCAGATGTGATGTTATATTTTGAAAACTTTAGAAATGATGGGTTTGAGAAGAGTTTGGATATTGCTAGAAGTGTTGCATTTGATATGAATGTGGATCCTACATTTCTAACAAAACGCCGGATCATTAGGAAAAAACAATTTGATGAAAATGATCATAATGAAGAAATACAATCCACGGAGGAGTCTTTTAGAGTTAATTATTTTTTTATTGTTGTGGATATGGCAATCACTTCATTGAAAGAGAGATTTGAACAATTGAAGACATTTGAAAGCATTTTTGGATTTTTATGTGATTCAAATACTTTGAAGTCATTAGATGATAATAAATTAAGAGATTCTTGCAATCACCTTGAAAGAGTTTTATCTCATAATGATTCATCTGATATTGACTTTAATGATATGTTTTCTGAATTAAGAGTGTTGTAAAATACATTACCAGATGTGTCAATGACAGCACTCCAAATTTTGGAATTTGTTAAACATGTTGATTGTTATCCAAATGTTTCAATTGCCTATCGAATCTTATTAACCTTGCCTGTGTTTGTAGCCTTAGCAGAAAGAAGTTTTTCAAAGTTGAAGTTGGTCAAAACCTACTTGCATTCAACAATGGCACAAGAAAGATTGAACAATTTAGCAATGCTATGCATCGAGAATGAGATGTTACAAAACATAGATATTGATTCCATTGCTAGAAGAAATTGTTTTTTGTAATTTTGTAATCTTATATTTAATTTCAATAAAATAAAATATCATTGTTACAAATTGAATGTTTGATACTAAGAGGCCCCATTTTTTAACTTTGCCAAGGGCCCCGAATATGTCAGGACCGGCCCTGGGCCTATTGGTCAAAAAAAGAAACTTGAGGACTTCTTAGAAGAGTGGAGTAAAACTTACGAGCTTCTTTTTCAAAAACAGAAATGCGAGGGCTTATTAAAAAAGAGGGATAAGCCTTTGGGGCTCTTCAGACTATCCTCTCACGAGGAATTTGCATTTCAGCACCCGAACTCTAATTGGGTAGGTCAGGAATTTGGCCGAAACCCGTTAACCCGTTTTTTTTTTTTTTTGAGAAAAAGGATGGAATACCCCAAAGGTATTCCAGCAAAGGTATTCCAGCCAGCTAAATTAAAAGATAAAGTGGTTGTTACAAAAAAAGTTCATACTCCCAACCAATAGTATGTACTAAAGTTCAAAAGAAAATACTACAAGTAGTAGTACCCTATTCCCTGTATACAACTGGAAAAAAACGGACATAACCTCCCCCAAATATCTGATATAACAAGTTTGTCAAAAGAAACCAAAAAACAAAACAGAAGAACAAAGTTTCTTTCAAGCAAAACCAAGAGCATATCCAGTGAATATAAAAGGCTCATCCCAATTGAATCACTGTAGCCGGACCATCTTTGTTCCCAAAATCAGCAACCTTGGCAGTATTGAAACCAGCAGCTCTTTTTCTTCTTCTTTCTTGTAATCTGGCAGCTCGAGCAGAGATCCCCTCAGATCCTAGCCAAAATGTTGAAAAAGTCACAATTTTGTTCAAGAGGGCAAGAGAGCTCTTCTGCTTATTAGAAAACAATCTGTCATTGCGCTCCCGCCAGACACACCATATAAGAGAGCAAATGAAAACTCTTCTCTTCATATTAGAATCACCCTTGTATCCACTAGACCACTGTATCCAAACTTCAAACCCGTTAACCTGTTAACTGCCCTAATCTCGGCAGACCCTCGCATTCCCCTCTCCCGCATACTAAAACCCTGAAACTCTCAAAACACTCTCAAATCCACTCCCTCCAACTTCTCCTCCTCTCCAAACCCTAACCCTAGATCTCACCCAGCGCGATGGCGGCGATGCTCCAGCCTCAGATCATACTTCTAAAGGAAGACACCGACACATCGCAGGGCAAAGCGAAAGTAGTGAGCAACATCAACGCCTGCACCGCCGTCGTCGACACTGTCCGTACAACTCTCGGCCCGAGGGGAATGGACAAGCTCATCCACAACGACAAGGGCAACATCACGATCTCCAACGATGGGGCTACGATCATGAAGCTGCTCGACATCGTTCACCCTGCTACCAAGATCCTTGTCGATATCGCCAAGTCTCAGGACTCCGAGGTAACGAAATTAGTTTTAGTTAATTCTATGGCTTTTGAGTTTTTTTACTTTCTAGTTGGTTAGACCCTCGATGAAGATCTACAGGGAAATGAGGACGAAGGTTGTTTTCTTGTTCTGTGGAGAAGTTAACTCAGTGTTTGGATGTTAAAGATTCAATCTTTTTGGATGTTAAAGATTCAATCTTTCACAATCAAAAGATTTCTTTTTGGATAATTTCAAAATGCTTGGTGGCAGCATTATATCTACAATTTAAGCATTGCACAATTTTTGTCACATCTAATTTTGTGTATTATTTGTGAAAGATAATCTGTAGTCTTATGTTCTAGCTTGTTGCAGGTTGGTGATGGTACCACTACAGTCGTGCTGCTTGCAGGTGAATTCTTGAAAGAGGCAAACCCTTTCATTGAGGATGGTGTCCATCCTCAAAATCTTATTAGAAGCTACCGAGCTGCAGGCAACTTGGTGAGTGTATTAGTGACTGTCTGCATGATATACTGTAGTTTATTGTTCGCTGAACTGAATATTATACCATGTATTACAGACCATTAGCAAAGTTAAAGAGCTCTCTGTAAGCATAGAAGGGAAGAGCCTTGAGGAAAAGAAGTCCTTGTAGGCATGTAAAATTGCTCATAGGTCCCTTAGCATAGCTCGGCACAAACCGACGAACCAACGAGGCGACGAGGTTGACGAATCGCACGCAAGCAACAGAATACATCCATTCGAGCGTGGAATCAAGCCAACGGTTCGGGGAATCAACGAGTCATTCAAACAAGAGTGGACTTGGACGAATCACGATCGAATCAAGATCGGTTTCAGACTCGAACCCAGAAGTGGATTTACTGCCAAATTAGGATTCGGATCGACTGCCAAATTAGATCAACAAATCAGAGTCCGAATCAACAACCGAATCACGAACAAAAGTGGATACAACGGAAAAAACGACAAAACCCTACGCCTAAGGGGGGCTCGGCCAAAGCCGAGCCACCCGTGGGTGGCTCGGCCCAGTGCCGGCCACCCATGGGGGGCCGACCCAGATCTGTGCGCGGGCACAGTTCAGAGAGCCTATAAATAGGCTCCCCTTTGTTCATTTGAAGAGGTTGGAACTTGGAGAGCCGTTACTCTGCCGGATTGGAGATTGAGCGCAGAGTTTCGAAGACTTGAGGACTTGAAGATTCAGATCTGATTCTCGGCGAACGTCCACGTCAAAAAAGGCAGGAATTCGAGAGAGGTAAAAATCGGATCTGAGATCTACACGATGCAACACTCCGGATCAAAGCTTGGCCTTTGATCCCGAGAACTAAAGGCTACTATTTCCTTGGTGAATTAGTACCCTACGGCTATTATTTCCTTTGTGAAATAATACCCGTCGAATCGTGTAGATCCGACCGGATCTAGATCGCGCGGTGGTCCACGGATTAACCCCGGCGCTGGCAAAGAACCCACAAAAGCGAGTGACCGCAAAACAGGAGCTCGTGATTCGTTCGAAAGGAAAGTTGTAATCTTTTTCTTTTTCTTTGATTTCGTTGTAACCGGATCTAAAAAAAGACCGGATCTTTTGTAACTCAAAATACAGCTTTACTTGATCTGCATTGTGACAATTGAAATCAATAATGAAGAAGACACGATTTTCTCCCTCATCGCGAATCTCTTGCCGCGACCACAGTGGATGCGGAGCCTCGATCTTCGCTGCCGAGACTCATCACGTCGTTAGCCTGCGGATTCCAATCCCTGTCGAGTAGTGAGGTCGAGTATGAATTCGACCCAGGCCTAAGTTCGAGGAGTACCCTTTCCGTCCTCGTTCCGGACTCTACCCCCTCTCCGCCAGTCTCAAGAAGTCTTCCTCCAGCGAGAATATGGCTCGTTCGGTTTCGAAGAAGTCCAGAATACCAACGCACACTCTCACTCCCATTGCTGACGCCCTAAAGTTGCTCAGGTGAAGTCTCCAACCGACCTCCACACGAGCGTCATAACCTTGTCCCTCGTCAACGCCTTCCTTTAACTGTTGAAGGCCGTTGTGACTCTCTCAAAGAGAGCCTGCCAGAGGCGACGTCAACGCCTTCCGCGGCGATTCGCTAAGGCGATGGAGTCCACAGACGGAGTCCGCTACGACGCGGATCTGAAGAATAGGAGAGGCAAACAGCCTCAACAACTGAAGAATGGCGGTTCCTCCAAGCCGCCGACGAATGAATGGATCCGGGTCAAACGGAACCGTTCGACACTCGAAGAGCGGATTCACAAACGCCGCGCACTGCTTGCATAAGCAAAAATCCTTGTGCAGAAGGCCGAAGAGTTGAAGAAAGAAAGAGTGGCCAAAAAGCCGCCATCAACCCGCCAAGTGTGGAGGCCGAAACAGCCTCCAACCAAAGTTCAACCACCGGCGAAACAACCCATATCGCCGATAATTCCAATAGCTTCTCCTGGAGATCATGCAGAATCATCCCGAAGGAAGAAGCCAGTCTTGGAGCGCCTCGGTCCGATTCCCGACGAGAGGGGCAAAGCTCCTGTCCAAGATCGTTTGGGCCCAATGAAAAAGCCCCGAACGACGCAACATGCTGGGGGTCGCCGTCACCTCCAACATAACAAAGAAACCAGGAGAGCTACGCGCACCAACTTGCGCATCGAAGTCCAGGAGCCCGCCGAGAACTCACGCCCAAAAAGGCATGTTTCGAGGCGCGTGACTTTCGAAAGCCCAAAGAAGGCAGTTCCCCCTCAGAAGGAAACATTATCGTCTGATGACGATAATGTTATACCTGAGAAGTCGTGCCAACACACGATAGGTTACTCCGATCGTCAAACAGACGAGTTGTACTATCGTGCTGGGGGTACGAATAAAACCAGGAAAAGGAATCCCCGAGAACATAAAACTCAGTGCCCCTGTTCCAAACTCATTCGGGCAGTATTGTCTGAATGCAGCTGCATCAAGGCGGTCCCCGAACGAGTTTTGGTTTTCGAAAGGCTCAGTACTGAAACGTCGAAAACAAGGCCTAGGCATTTCCGGTGGAGAAGAACGGTGGTTGAAGATGGAGAATTTCCGAGGGTCACCACCAACATGACCAGCAGAGGGACATCGGCGCGGGACAATACCGAATCAATTCTGAAAGCATCCCGGCCTAGAACCCGTCTGCAGTCCGGAACTATCAAGCGAACAACCTATGGTAGGGTTCGAACAAGACTCCCTTCAGAAGATGAAGAATCTGATGCTGGCTCCGCGGTCGCATCAGATAATACAGTATCCAGCGAGGGACAACCACGCGAAGCGTTTATGATAAGTGCGGAGCAGGTGGCCAAAATGCTTGAAGACGCCTTAGCTAAGCAACAGGAAACCTTCAGGTTCGAAATGCAGATGGCCATGCAAAACATGAGAGAAATGCATGACCAACAAATCCAAGCATTGACGAACCAGCAAGGCGAGCCAAGTCGTCGTAACCCGGTTAATCTGGAAGACGAGGATACGAATGAAGCTCGTAATACTAATAACCCTCCCATCAACGCGGGGGGTGGTAACGAGAATGCCAATGCAGACTCAGGTGAAAACTTGAAGATTAAAAATCTCGAGAGTAAAATCAACACGTTGATTTCCGCTCAAGAGATGAAGAAAACAGGCATTCCTTGTCCGTACCCAAGAGAGTGGGAATCAATCCCATATCCGGCGAAGTTCAACCTAATTAACTTCACGCCGTTTAATGGGATGAGTTCCCCCACTCAACATTTGATTTATTTTAAATCACACTTGGGGGTAATCTTCGGCAATGAGCCTCTGATGGTGCGGTCATTCGTCGGCACTCTTCACGGAGCCGCCTTCGATTGGTATCGTCGCCTCAAGCCAGGAAGCATAAATAGGTGGGACGACATGGAGACCAAGTTCCTCGCCAACTTTTTCGACGACGACACAGAGATATCCATCGGATCGTTGCTGGACGAGAAGCAGAAAGACGGAGAATTGGTGGACACCTTCGTCAAGAGGTTCCGGAACAAGGTGATGAACTGCCGGGACCCGATCACCGAGGAATTCATCCTCCAGACGTGCCACAACAACCTCACACTAGACGTGTTGGAAGCAATGGGGACAGCACCGTCCAAGACATGGAAGGATCTGAAGGTCCGAGGAGAGCAAGCAGAGCGATTCATCAGAAGAAAGAAAGCGGAGAGAGGCCAACAGGCGAATAATGCTCCGCAACAGAATTTCGTCCCACGGGGGAAAGGTAAGGCACATGCTAATGCAGTTGATGCTAACCAAACCTTTCAATTGCAACCTCAGCAACAACAACAGCGGCAGCAGCAACGAGCGCCATAACAATCGCAGTCACAATGGCAACAACGGCTTCAGAAGCAGAAGTCTTCAGAGCCAAGGTTTCCCAAAGTGTACTCCTTCAAAGATGACAAAGTTCCCGGCATCTTCAAATACTTATTGGAGAATAACAAAATTCAGCTACCAGCGATCGTGGATCAAGAAGGGGCTAACAAAGTGACGGATCCGAAGTATTGTGCATACCATAGAGCGGTCCATCACCCTAGCAAGTCGTGCTACCACCTCAAGGACAAGATCCAGGTGCTAATTGATGTGGGTGTCATAACCCCGAAGCCTGCCAAGAATGTGGGAGCAAATGCAGTGTCAATCAGCTTTGGATCGGTGCCCACAACATGGTTCGAGCCGAAACGCTTCACCAAGGTAGGAATGAGGACAGTGAATGATGACCCGCATGGACAGCGCCAAAAAGGGCTTGTGCCACACACAGCCCCAAACGGCGAAATCCTCTGGGTTCACCCCGACCTGGTTGAAGATGAACAATGGGCCGGATCGTCATCCAAGAAGAAGTCCAAAGGGAAAGGAAAGTCTTGCTGCGGAGTCTCTGCTATCCCAGGAGAAGATGACGAAAAAATCCCAGCTTTCCCGCTCTCTGAAGAAGAACAAGAAGTTTTTGCGACACGAAGCGAAAATGAGTATCACTACAACTATCCACCACCTAGTGAGCAGGGGGTGAATAAACGGGGACCAGCCAAAACTCTCACGGAGATGGGGGTGATTACAAGTCCTACACCGGGCGAAGAGGCTAGACGACAGTCGGTGAATAAACCGAAAGAGAAGAATCCCCAGGAAATTCAGAATCCGAAGCAGTCTCGTTTCAGTCGCCCGATTGGAAAAGACAAACCGGAAAGCTCGAAGACTCCGCAAGTCTTCGATATAATGGATCAACTAGCTAATATTCCAGCGCAGATAACGCTGTATGAGTTGCTGCGGTTGTCCAAGGAAACCAGGGAGGCCTTGCAAGAAGCTTTGGCCAATTCAGAGGTGTTTCTGACTCAAATCAAGCCGGTGCCTGAACAGCCAGAACCGCTGAGTCAACAGTGCAACATAGCGACTAAAATCCTTCCCTGCATTACTTTCACCAAAGAAGACATGCAGACGAAGGATTCGAACCACGATCGACCGCTATACTTCATCGGTCAACCGAATCCAGGTGGATCCGGGTTCCGCTGTGAGTATTATGCCGCTTCGCCTTATGCATAGCCTTAGCATTCCAGTCAGTAAGTTGGCATCTATGGGCACAGTC